CCCTAAGGAGTAGGAGGTCTACTGAAATGGGCCTTAAAGCCTAAGGCATGGCCCCGGATAGAGGAACTGCAGGTGAGGAATTCACCTAACTCAGCAGATACTGCTGGCAGGCCTGACAAAGAGCTGAAAAACATATAAATTGAAAAAACTTCCACCATATTGGGCCCCAGAATTTGAGAAGCAAGAGTTCGTCTGGGCATGCTAGCAGTAGCGAAAATGAACAGGACTCCAAACAAATTTGGCTTATTGATTAAGGCATCTTCTGATTTACAATATAACAATGGTTCTAGAGCAGTGGTTCTCAACCTTCCTAATGCCGCAACCCTTTAATACAGTTCCTCATGTTGTGGTGACCCCCAACCATAAAATTATTTTCATTGCTACTTCATAACTAATTTTGCTACTGTTATGCATTGTTATGTAAATATCTGATATGCAGGATGTATTTTCATTGTTACAAATTGAACATAATTAAAGCATAGTGATTAATCACAAAAACAATATGTAATTATATATGTATTTTGCAACAATGGTCATTGACCCCTGTGAAAGGGTCGTTCGACCCCCAAAGGGGTCGCGACCCACAGGTTGAGAACCGCTGTTCTAGAGCATCGAGGTCAACACTCCTTTAAAACAAGCGCTAACCACCCTCAGGAGAGCACTCTTGTTAAGTGTTCTAAGATCCAACCCCCACTGTGCTCCCTCCCACCTCCATTCAGCCTTCCTTCCCTCCTCCTCAATCCCAAAGGTGTCTGAGAAGCTGTGAGAGCAACTCTGACACTGGCATTCTCAGGGGGCATCTGAGATCTTGCTTCCTTGCAACTGTCCTAGGTTTGGCTCAGATAAACTCTTAAAAAATTCTCCACAGGTTTGTACGTGTGTATGTCAACTACGTCAACGTGGTTCACTTATGCTGTGGATTTTATGCCAATTCAACCACCAAGGGAAACCTGGAAACATGTCACAGGGGAGACAGGCACAGCTGGAGAGGCCAAGTTCCTCCTGAGGCTGCACCTCTGTGAAAAGCTGTGTTTCTGTGGATGGTTTCCCACAAGGACTCAGTTCTGCCCCTTATCTGCTGCTTTGCCAACCCCACATGGGCAACACCACTGCAGTTATGATAAGTCTCCAAATAGATCCATTTTTGTGTATTGAGTCATGATTTTGAAGTCGATTCCTTTGATTTTTTTCATAGATAAATATGCCATGCACAAGTAGGGACAGCGGGTATCTCCATTCACATTTGAATGTCTCTATGTATTTTTCTTGTTTTGTTTCAGTTGTTAAAACATCAAGTACAATGTTCAGTAGAAGTGGTAAGAGTGAACCTTTTTGACTTTGTCCCCATCTGAGGGGGAATCATTTCCCTTCCCACAATCAAGTATGATATTAGCTACAGGAATTCTATGATCAGATTGAGGAAGTGCCCTTGATCCCAAGTTCCCTAAGCATTTTTATCATGAATGAATGCTGTGCTTTGTCACACACTTTTCTGTATCAATTTTTATGACCATGTGAATTTTCTTCTTTACACAGTTGACCTGTTGGATTACATTGGTTGATTAAAAAATATTGAATCAGTTTTGAGTTGTTGGGATTATTACTACTTTGTCATGATGTAGTATGATTTTTTTTTAATATTGCTGGTAGGATTGGCTAATATTTTGTTGAGGATTTTAGTAAATATGTTAATAAGAAATTTCGGTCAGTAGTTTACTATTTCTTTGTACTGAGTACACAAAGAATGCCGGTCTCATAAGAATGCACTGGGGAATGTGTTCATATCTCCTCATTAATTTCTGATATTGGCCATTTGTCTCTTTGCCAGTCTTGTTAGCATTTGGTTAGTTTTATTGATTTTTTTTCAAAGATTCAGCTGTTGGCATCATTCATTTTTCTCTACAATTTTTCTGTTTTGATTTCATTAATCTCTGTTCATTTTTATTTTTCTTTCCTTTTGCTTGATTTTAGGTGAGTTTGATCTTCCTTTTCTAATTTCTTTTCTGTTTTTAAAATCTTTACTGTTGAGAGTATTACTAATATTCCCCCCTTTCCACCCATATCACTCATCCACCCGGATCCTGCCCAATCCCTGGCTTTCATCATTCTCCTATCTGTGTCCATAGTTAATGCATATGTGTATAAATTCTTTGGTTAACCTCTTTCCACCTTTCCCTCTGTCTTCCCTCTGAGATTCATCAGTCTGTCTTATGTTTCCATGCCTCCGGTTCTATTTTATTCATCAGTTTATTTTGTTCATTAGATATTATGTTTAATTACTTTGGTTTTTAGATTCAATTGTTGATAGATATGTATTTATTGCCATTATTTTTTATATTTTATTTTTAGTTTTTTAAAATATTTTTATTGATTTCAGAGAGGAAGGGAAAGGGAGAGAGAGATAGAAACATCAATGATGTCAGAAAATCACTGATCAGCCGCCTTCTGCATGCCCCCCACTGGGAACTGAACCCTGGCATGTGCCCCTGACTGGATTGAATCCTGAAACCCTTCAGTCAGCAGGCCAATGCTCTATCCACTGAGCAAAACTTAGATCTCTTTATAGTTAGCATCAAATTCTGAGAAACTATTTGCTAGGGTTTTCTTCATATTTATTCCTCCTCTTCCTCCTCCTCCTCCTCCTTCTTATTCTTATTCTTATTCTTATTCTTATTCTTATTCTTATTCTTATTCTTATTCTTATTCTTATTCTTTTTCATTTTCCTTTTCCTTCCCTTCCTCCTCCTCCCCCTCTTCTTCCTCCTTCTCCTCCTGGATGTGTAGAGTTGTAATCTGGTCTGGTCTGCAGCTGTCCACCAGGTGCACTGACTATAGGGCCTCCTGGTGGGTGCAAAGTAAGCCACTGCCTGGGGCCACCAAGCAGGAGCTACAAGGGGATCTGCAGATGGCTGCTACTTGTATTGGGCTTGGATGTGCCCAGGCAAGGACAAGTTGTGAAGCAAGGCAGGCTGGTGCTAGTGCCTGGTCTTGGGCCTCTTATTGATAGTTTTGGGGCATGCTGATGCCAGCTGCTGCTTGTTTGAGAGATTTTAGGAGAGTCTGAAACCTGAGCCAGGACAAGACATTCAAATGAAAAGGCTGCTGGAAACAGTTTGGGTGGGGCTGAATTTTGGATGGGCCATGTTCTCACAGGGAATTACCAGGGCAGAGCAAACTGTGTGAGCCACACTGTTGGAACCTCAGATATGGCTTTGAGGCTGTTATGCAATGGGGGAGGTCCCAGCACAGAAACAATGACTCCTATGAGTAGCTCTGTCTGGAAAAAAGCCACCTCAAGTTCCTGCACTAATGGCAGACAACCCAGTTCTTCCCCATATGTACCTGGATCTCCCAATTCCACCACCTACTGCTGAAACTCAGAGGAAGAAAGACCCTGTAAATTCCTGTGCCGGCCCTTTAAGAGGAATAGCCTGGGTCTCCAGTGGCCTCCATGTCACTCAAAGACAATTATTTCTGGTTTTTACAACCTGAAGTTCTGAGGACTTCTGTTCCCAGCTCTGGAAACCTGGGTGTGGTTCTGGTGTGGGGCTGGGACACTTTGATTCTCACAGAAGGCCTCCACAGCTGAGATATCTCTCCTGATTAAACACACACCACATCTGAGTGTCGGACTAACCTGTTGCCCATCTCTGCCCTTCCTACCAGTCTTGATGTGCTTTACCTCCCTAGTCTGGAATGATGGCTGTTCTCTATTTCAGTTGTACATTCCATGTGGTTGTGGGAGGCAGCGAGAATATGCATTTACCTCTGCCTCCAAATTGGTTCTCACCCTTTTCCAATTTTTTAAAGTGTAGGCTTATGTTATTGATTTAAAGATCTTTATTCTTATCTAATATGTAAGCATTTAATGCTATAAACTTCCCTCTAAGCACTGCTCTAGCTGCATCTCACAAAATTGGATATTTTGTAATTTCATTTTCTTCCAGTTTTGAAGTACATTTTCTGTTAGTTTAGAATTCTACATTCATGATGCTTCAATGTTTCTTCAGCTCTTTAGAGTCATCACTCCATTGTCTTCTGATTTTGGTAGTTTTTCATGAGACCTTTGATGTTTTTATTAATCTTGTCCCTTGACTCATGTGTGTTTTTTTCTTTTCTGCCCTTGGCATTTTATGAGTTTGACTTTATTGTGCCTTGATTTAATGTTGTTTATTTTTATTTTTTTTTTGGTGTATGTTGGTGTTCTTAGATTTCTTTATAGTATACATCAAATTCTGAGAAACTATTTGCCATAATTTCTCCAAAAATTTTACTTGGTGCCTCCTATCTCCTTTTTCTAGGATTCCAATTACATGTATATATATTTGACTGTTTTATTGTCTCATATTCCTGACACTTGACTATTTTTTGGAAAATTTGTTCTGTGTTCCATTTTGGGGAGTTTCCATTACACTTCTTTAAGTTCACTTATGTTTAATCGGCAGTGTTAGTCTACTCCATGTATTATTCATTTCAGATATTGTTATTTTCTTATCCTCTAGAAATTCAAAATACAGATCAGTTCTACCAACTCCTTTCTGTTAGAGTAAAGCCCTCACGTGTTTTATCCACCAGAAGCTCCTGACAGAAGGCTGTCCCTTTGCTAGCACAGTCGAGGTTATTGGTTGCTGGGTCACTGCCCAATGACTTTTGCAATGGCCTCCTTAAAATTGCAATGTCTCCAGGAGGGACCAAAGGAAATATTAAGGACTCCTTCTGACAGATCAATGGGGCAGAGGAAGTAAGTGACTTCCTCTAAGGGGTGGGGTAAGGCATAAGGGGGAGAGGCAGTGAGTCCTTGAGGAGGGTGTTTACTCCTGGAGAATAAAACCACTGACCAGATCATCAGAGAATATATCCCTCAGGTCCCAGCTCCTGAGCTGGTCCTCATGCTCTGTGGTCCTGAGCACCCCATGGTGTCCTGAGTGTCTCCCTGCAGCCCAGTCATGCTGCCTCCCTCAGGGAGGTTTGTGTCTGGGCTCACACTGACTTCCCCTCACTGTGTCTCTTGCACCATAATACATGGCTGTGTCCTCGGTGGTCACGGAGCTCAGCGGCAGGGAGAACTGGTTCTTGGACGTGTCTCTGGAGATGGAGGTTCGGCTCTTGAGGGAGGGGCTGTAGTTAGTGCTCCCATCACTACATATGCGCCCCATCCACTCCAGCCCCTTCCCCAGGGCCTGTCGGATCCAATGCCAGCAGTAACCACTGGTGATGGAGTAACCAGAGACAGCACAGGTGAGGGAGAGGGTCTGTGAGGGCTTCACCAGTCCTGGGCCTGACTCCTGCAGCTGCACCTCGGACAGGACACCTGGGACAGAGAGAACACAGTGAGTCCTGGGCTCAGATGCAGGATCCCCATTCACATCTAAGCCCTTGAGTCACTCACATCTGGGAGCTGACAGCAGGAAGAGGAAGAGCCACATGGGATTCATGCTCTTGCAGGTGATGTGCTCCTCCCCCAGAAAGTATTCTCAAGGGTGAGGAGGCCCTGAATTTAAGTGGACGCCAACTGTGTGTGTATCTGGTAGCCATGTGGGCATTTGAATATAGGAGGTGTCTGCACTTACAAAGGGCAAGAGGTGAGGGGAGGTCCCTTTCTTTGGGGCTTCTCCTGGAAGGAGGTTCTGACTGTGCCCTCAGAGAACCAGGCCTTCCTTGGGGTCCTGGTCACTGTGCCCAGGGACCTCTTCTTCCGCAGCAGGAGATGTGCTGCAGGATGTGGTCAGGAAGTGGGATGTGGGAGCAATCAGTGACTCCTTAGGGATAAAATCACTTTGCCTCTGCTCCCATGGTATAGACAGATGACATAGATATATATCTTCTGTTCTTTATCCTCACCCGAGAATATGTTCATTGATTTTTAGAGTGAAAAAAAGGGGAGAGTGAGTGAGAGAGATATATTGATGTGTAAGAGAAATATTGATCAGTTGCCTCCTGATGTGCAAGGACTGAGAATCAAACCAGCAACCATTTCTTTTATTTATTTATTTAAATATGTTTTTATTGAGAGGAAAGGAGAGAGAGGGAGCAAAAAACATCAATGATGAGAGAAAATCATTGATTGGCTGCCTCCTGCACGCACCCTACTGGGGATCAAGACTGAAATCTGGGCTTGTGTCCTGGCCAGGAATGGAATCATAGGTCAATACTCAACCATTGAGCCACACAAGCTAGGCTTCAGTCTGATTTGTTTCGTTTGCTTGTTTGTTTGTTTTTAATTCTCACCCGAAGATATGCTTCCATTGATTTTTAGAGAGAGTGAAAGAGAGAGGCAAAGACAGAGAGAAATATCAATATCAGAGAAACACATGGATTGGTTGCCTCCTGTACATGCCCTGACAAGGGCTCTGGCCAGGGAGGAGCATGCAACTGAGGTACGTGCCCTTGACCAGAATCAAACCCAGGACGCTTCTGGTTGCAGACCGATGCTGAATCCACTGAGCCAAAAAGCTAGGGCCAGTTTTGAAATATATTTCAGTTAGTTTAGAATTCTACCTTGAGAGCTTTTCAATTTTCCTTCAGCATTTTAAAGTCGTCATTTCTTTGTCCTCTGGTTGTGATAGTTTTTCATGAGTCATTTAATGTTTTTATTGATCCTTTTTAAAAATAAAAATTATTTTATTCATTTCAGAGAGGAATGGAGAGGGAGAGAGAGAGAGAGAGAGAGAGAGAGAGAGAGAGAGAGAAACATCAATAATGAGAGAGAATAATTCATCAGCTGCCTCCTGCATGCCCCCTACTGGGGATGGAGCCCACAACCCAGTTAGGTGCCCACACTGGGAATTGAACAGTGACCTCCGGGTTCATAGGTCAATGCTTAACCACTGAGCCTGGCGGGCTGTTCCTGCACTTTTAGGATTCACAGAGCTCCCTGTGTACCTGGGCTCTGGTCAGCGGGATGTTGGCAACATTATAGGTGACCAGGCACCAGTCCTTCACTGCCTGACCTCTTTCTCCAGTGTCCACGGGCTTGTCCACCATGATGATCAGCAGCTCACGGGCCCCCAGAAGGTTCCCTCAGCACAGGTGTGAGCTGTTGGAGGTGCTCTGAGGTCAGTGTTCAGCTGTGTTTCCACCTGACACTGTCGGGTCCCCCCACAGCCTGACATCACACGTGGCACTGCACGTGGGCTTGATGAAGAAAATAAGATTTTTTTGGTGGGTGGGTGACCAGCAGCCTGACTCTGTAACTAGTTAGTCAGTATCCCTAATGCACATTCCTGCTAGTCTATAGTCTAGTCTTTGCCCCTTCCTTATGTATCTAGTCTTGCAAGACCTGCTTACCTAAATACACACATTTTACAGAGGCCATAAACCATGAACAATACACAACCCTTGGAGGGGGTTATCAGCCCTGGTGCTAGGCCAGGCCTTTAGGTATAGTCTCACAGCCCCCATCCCAACACATGGTCTGGAAATCCCATCCATATTTGGGGGACAAAGAAACTAAAGGGTATAAAGAGAGGGCTTCCTCCATATCGGTTTACTCAGGATTTGGGGAACTGACCCCCTGAGTCCCTGTGAAACATCTGAAAATAAATGGGCTTATCCTGGACCTCCAAGTACTCCTGTGTATTTTTCGCTTGCCTGGTAAATTCTGTAATGGGCTCAGCTGGGTGGCCGAGGCTGGCTTCATGTTGCCTGAGTGGCTCTGGCCCTGGCATCTCAGGGAGGGCCTGGCACAGGAGATGGGCATGAGGGGATGGCATGGGGGTGCATTTAAGGCAAAACCTACCAGGACAGGAAGGAGAGGGCAGAGTGCAGCCACACGGGATGTTCTGTGCAGGCCTGATGAGGTGAGAATGTGGGCTGCAGAGGACAGAGGGTGCGGATGGGGTGGTGTCTGTGGAGCCTGGAGGCACAGCAGAGGTGGGTGGGGACCATGTCTCCTTCAGCAGGTTCTCAGGATCCAGGTAGATTCTCCAGGGGAAGCGGGACAAGTATTGGGATGTGTCCTTGGGGACTGGGTTCTAGAGACACATGGGGAACCAGGCCCAGCAGGGCTGTGACAGGCCCTGTCACTGGGCCTCCTTCCTGCCTCCATCCCAGGACACCCTGAGTCCTAGGTCCGCCTCCTAGGTTCACGGAGCCAGGAGCACACACAGGGGTTGGACCCTAAACCTCCATGTGCAGCCATGTCAGTGAGAAGCAAGCAGTTAACTGCTCCAAAGGGCTCCTCCCGGGGCAGAGAAAGGGGCTGATCACCTACAGGTGAGGTTTAGGGCCTGGACTGTGCTTTCCCAGCTCAGCACTGCATGGGAGTGGGGGCACTTCACTCTCAGTGGGGAGACGGGCATCCCTACAATGTTTTCCTTGTCAACCCAGAGAGCAACCATCAGGGACATGGTGATTGGAAGGGCACAGATGAAACGTTGACCAGATCTGAAACACAGCCACTTCAAACTTTTTTGCTGCAGAGAATCTACTTAAAGACACAAGGAAGGAAGCAGGAACTTCCCCAGGGACAACAGGAGGGAAGAAAGCATTGACCCCAATTGGAAGCCTGCACAACCCTCCAGGGACAGCTTCTGAGCTGGCACCTGGGTTTGCTGGTCCTGAGCGCCCCCTGGTGTCCTGAACTCCCCCTGCAGCCCAGCCCTGCTGCCTCCCTCAGGGAGGTTTGTGTCTGGGCTCACACTGACTTCCCCTCACAGTGTGTCTGCTGTACAGTAATACACGGCTTTGTCCTCAGCTCTCAGGCTGTTCATTTGCAGGAAAAGCGTGTTCTTGGCATTGTCTCTGGAGATGGTGAATCGGCTCTTCACAGAGGTGGCATAGTGTGTGCTACCACCTGTATTAGTAATGCCTGAGACCCACTCCAGCCCCTTCCCTGGAGCCTGGCGGACCCAGTTCATTTCATAGTCACTAAAGGTGAATCCAGAGGCTGCACAGGAGAGTCTCAGAGACCCCCCAGGCTGCACCAAGCCTCCCCCCAGACTCCACCAGCTGCACCTCACACTGGACACCTGCAAACACAGGGACACAAGGTGGACTGAGAATCACATGGAAGCACAAACAGGCACAGGCACAGGTCTCAGCGCTCCCCACTCCTGAGAATGACCTTGAAAAATGATCCGGAGGAAAACGCAGCTTGGCAACAAGTCCATGGTGGAGCCGCTGGGGTTCTGTCTAAGGCACTTGGGTTCTGAGTGTCTCCCCAACATGCCGGGCAGGAGGAGAGCCCCATTTGCATGGAGTCTGGATATAAGGGTGCAGCTGGGACCCTGGGCTGCATGCCTGACCTTGTCATCCTAGGGGTGACCCCAGATGGAAAGGACTCAATGATGCTGTCCACAAGGGGTCCCGTCCTGACCCACCCCCACCCCTCCTTTCCTGAGACCAGTCACCATGACCCCATGCCTTTGGGGGCAGCCTCCAGGATTGAGAGTCCTCCATCCTTGGGGTTTGATGAGGACCCAGGGGTGCTGCACCCAGAGGTGGGTGGTTGGGCTTCCTCTCACTCTCCTTCACCCGCTGTGGGCCATGTTGCCTTTCTTGGATTTGGGAATAAGCATTGGAATGATGCTTTTATTTTGAGACTGAAAGATTCTCCACGTTGTTTCCGCCAGTCAGATCTTCCACAAAACTCTAACATATACAAGTGATGAGGCAGGAGAGGCTGGGCTGGACGCTGTGGCCACAGACTCTGTCTCAAACCTGCTGTTCCTGTCACAGCTAACACCTGTCTGCCTGAAACCACACATTTTACTCAGCTTCCCGTCTGTTCCTGTGCAAAAGTCCTGTTTTCCAGCCTCTCAAAGTGGGTGAATTTCCATCACTTAAAAATGGATCCCTGGCGGGTGGTGGGGGTGAGCTGGAGGACATCAATGCTGGAAAAAATGGGGACAGAAGTGATACTTTCAATTTAAAAAAATAATAAAAATAAATTAATCAATTTAAAAAATGGAGTCCTGGCCCTGGCTAGTTTGGCTAGTGGATAGAGTGTTGGCCTGTGAACCAAAGAGTCTCAGGTTCAATTCTGGTCAAAGGCACGGACCTTAGTTGCAACCTCCTCCCTGGCCCTTGCCCTGGTGAGGGCACGTGTAAGAAGCAACCAGTTGATCTGTTTCTCTCACATCAATTGTTCTCTCTTCCCCTCCCTCCCTTCTACTCTCTCTCTGAAAAGCAATGGAAAAAATATCCTTGGATGAGGATAGAAAAAGATAAAAAAAAGAATATGTTTGTTCTTGGGAGCAAAATCCTGGGTAGAAAGTTGAGGCACCAAGTCCTCCTTGGGGGAAGGTGAGCACCTCCCTTCTCAGAGTAGAGTGGCCACCTGTGTCATCCTCCCACCGCCCCAGGCAGGTGAGGACAGACAGATACAGGTATCTGGGTCTGTGGCCAGCTTGTTCCTTCTGGGAAGGCTGCCACCACCACTTGGAAAGTGCAATCACGCTGGGGAGGCAGTATGGCATGGGCAGGTCAAACACCACAAAGCCTTACTTCTCTCTTCTTTTCATTTATTATTACTATTTTAAAATATATTTATATTTATTTCAGAGAGGAAAGCAGGGAAGACAGAGACAGAAACATCAATGATGAGAGAGACTCCTCCATCGGTTGCCTCTGGCACACCCCCGCTGGGGTTCCAGGCATGTGCTCTGACCAGGAATCCAACCATGACCTCTTGGTTCATAGGTCGATTCTCAACCAGGTGAGCAACACCTGCCGGGTTCTGGGGTTACCTGTTACCATTTCTTTCTTTCAATTAAGAAAAAGAGATTCCTTTACTAGGTTGGTTTTGTTAATTCTCACCTGAGGATATTTTCCCGCTTATTTTTAGAGATCCTGGAAAGTGGGAGGAGAGGGAGAGAGCTGATAGAGACACATTGAGCAGTTGCCTCTTGCTGGCAGGGATGGAGATTGCAACAGATGTACGTGACCATGATGGGAATTGAACCCAGGACCCTTCATTTTGCAGGCTGATGCTCTATCCACTGAGCCCTATGGGCTAAGGACCCTCCCACCATGTCTAGTTAACACTGTGGAGGCTCCCGCACCGCATGCACAAAGCTAGGGTCCTGCCAGGTGGACCAACAGACCTGGGGGTTGTCTGTGTTGCTGGGAGGAGGGGAAATAGGATAGAGAGGCCCCCAGAAGGGCAGCCCCAGGTGCCAGGGTACAGGGGTGCATGGGGAGTTGGGCTGGAACTTCTCTCCAGAGACTTAATGAGGAAGAACCACCCAGACCCCCTCTCCTGCAGGTTGACGCTGGACCTCGCTGTGGGGGACCCACCTGAAGCCAGTTGGTCAGGCCCCCATGAGGGCTGAGGGAAACACAAACCTACATTATGGAAAAGTCCATTTTCCCAAGTGCCAGGAAGAGAGAGGGACTTCCTCCCTCCGTTACCTTCAACATTCGTGTAAGTTTCAATGTCAGTTTAAAAGCTCACTGAGCGCCTCCCCCACTTTACACCCCAGCGTGTTTTCTGGGGACCTTGGAACCATCTCTGAAGTGTGACCACTAGGGGATACCCTCTCCCCACTTCTGTGGAAGGAAGGGGGCAGCCAGACCTCAGGGGGCTCCAGGCTCCCAGGGGCAAACCTACTTCCTGTCCTAAAGAGGTGGGAGGTCTCATGTTCCCTGGGATCAGGTCAATGAGCAAACACATGAGGCCCCTCCAGTCACCAGGGGATTTAGGGTGAACTCTGGGTGACAAGTGGTGCTGCCAAGTTCCTCCTGAGGCTGCACCTCTGTGAAAAGCTGTGTTTCTGTGAATGGTTTCCCACAAGAACTCAGTTCTCTCCCCTTATCTGCTGCTTTGCCAGCCCCACACTGGCAACACCACTGCAGTTATGATAACTCTTAACATTGGGCAAGTGATTCACTATGTTTCCTTTCTCAATATTGCTTAGATGTTTCCGTTCCTTTGTCCTTTGTCCATATCAATTTAAAAATCAGTTTGTCCATGTCTATAAAATCCGTGCTGAGATTTGGACTGATATTCTGTGAAATCTGCAAGTCAGTTTGTGGGGAAATATTCACTGTGATGCTTCTTCCAGTCTAAGTCTCCAGTTGTTTAGGGCTTCTTTGGCTTATTTTGTTAGAATTTGGTAAATTTTAGGTTTTGTTAGATTTATACATACATATTAGAATTTGGTAAATTTTAGGTTTGTTATATTTATACCTAAATATTTAATCTCTTGGGAGATTATTGCAGGATATATATATATATATATA